AGAACAGATTTATGAAAATGTTTAACTTTTCCTGTAAGACTGCTCCAGGCTCTCTGTCCTCTCTCAAAACCAATCAACCAAAACGCTCCATTTGTCTCTCTTTGTCTCTCCTCTTATCCTCCCTTCTTCTCTCTCCCCCTCTCCGTTACTGTGTCTCTCCATTTTTACGCGTTATCACACCTTTGTCCTCTCTTCCAAGAACTACGGAAATAGGGATGACAAATCTTTCTTCTCAGCAGGGATTGCTGGAGGGATTTCTTCATTGATGGTGGCTGATTCTTTCATGCTGTGGTCAGGGGAAGGCAATACTCTTATATTCTGCTTTCTCTTTCCGGGCAAACGTTGGGCTTAAACTCGAACCCGCGGTTTTGGATTTGAACCCTGTGCTCATGTTGCTAAACAAACATAAATACTCTACTTTTGCAATCTTTTCTAGAGAGCAGAAAAGAAAGAGAGAACATGACAGTTCAGTTCAGTTTGCTGATGAATGGCCTTATGTGCTCCGGCAGTTGCAACATAGAGGGCAAAAAAAGAGATAGAAAAAAAAAAAGAAGAACATCGAGGAAGAGAATGGAAAGGAGATGACAAGATATGGTGTTTGTCTGATCCTTGAAAGGGGAGAGGTTTCATTACCTGAGGGACTTCAGCGGGGGGATGTCTTGGCGGTGGTGTATTTTTTTCTCGCTGCTTGTCAGAGTTGCAGCGCTGCTACATAGACTTCTGTGTTTTTAGTCACTCAGGGATTTCAGTGGCACCAGCAGGAGCCAGACAGCCCAAGAATCAGCTGTGATGGATGGCTATGTCTGTCCGAGAGGATGGAGGGGTCACGGCGGTTCACAGCGGTGATGGAGACACTTCCCTGCTCGGCCCCCATGACTTCTTTAATTAACCTCTTTGGGAGGACCACTCTCTTTCTTTGGAGATAATCACAGCCTGGAAAGTCCCTTCATTAGGACTTATCTCGCCTCTATGTGTCCACTATTGTCCACAGTTTCTTTCCCTACTTTCTGTACCTCCCGTTCAGTGGAGTAATGGCACTGCCACACAGGGAGAGGAGACAAAAGGAGTGGGAGCCAGCGGAGTACCAAGCCCTTCAGAGTTTTCATCCTTGGTTTCCATGTTCACACACCTCACTCAAGTCTTTGTTTTCTGCTCTCTATTCATCTCTCTAATTCTCCCTGCTAGAATTCGTTTTATTTCACAGCGAGGAAACTTCATTGATCCCACCGAGAGACAATTGCGGTTTAATGGCAAATTAGGCAAGGCACCTCTTGCCAGATCCCTTTATACCTGTCCTCGTTTCATCTCTCATTTTCTCCTCGCTGCTCTTACTGTAGACCTTGTGGCCTCATTATATACAAACACACAAAAAGCAAAGACAGAAATAAAAATCATCCTATTTTTCACATTAGACTTCTAAAGGACAAACAGGCCTCAGTACTCCTTAGAGGAAGCGTACCCCTCTGAGTGATGCCCCAGAACAAGCAGATCAAACGCCTCTCTTCTGGCTTCTCGACTTTCTTCCTATCTCTCTATTTTGGTTTCCTTCTTTCATGTTAGGGAACAGTGGCTTAAGTGGCTCTATTGGAGTTCTGTGATGGGCTCTCAAATGAAGCCTGGGTGAGCTTGGGAAATAAATTGGTTTGTTCTGAAGCCTGTGGCCCCTGTGGCGCCCCCTGCTGTTCACTCTCCGATCTGTGCCATGTCCGATGAAAGAAGAGGGTGGGGACACAAGGCTGGCAGGGAAGAGGTCAAGAAGAGGAAAAAAAAAAGGGGGGGGGGGGGGCAGGCGGGGTGGGATGAGTCATGCAGCTTGCTGTGCTGGAGAATTTACATTTCATTTCAGTCGATGAGAGTTTTATACATGCTAAATGAACACCCTACATTCTATTTATTCACAGTGGAAGGGGGGGGGGGGCGGTGAAGAGGAGAGAGATGCATGGACCCACAGCTCCCCCATGTGGACATCCTGCACAAAACCATCTTTTTTTATAGTAAATCCAGAGCTTGAATTAAGTGACTTTTTAATTTAATTGAACTGACTTCTATCACCACACACCCCATCAAAGCCCTAATACTGAATATTTCGACCATTCAACAAATTTTGCTGCCACTCTGAAATCATTTTTCTTCGCAAACCTGTTTTCCCTTGGTCCCAATTTTACACCATTATTTTTGTTTCACATGCCAATAAAATTCCAAGCATGCGGCATCAGTTGGGTTTGTTCTTGCATCAACAACGCAGCTCTGAATTATTCATGTTTCTTTAATATTCCTGTTTATCTGTATCTTCTTCATTCTCATGCAGGCTTACAGAGTCCTTGGGTTTTCTGTGTAGCTTATCTGAAAAGGACATGTTGCTTTACTCATTGTGTGTGATGATGTGTGTGGGATGTGTGTACCCACACCCATACATCTGCGCGTTTGCATGTAACTGTTGTATTGCCTTTGCACAGAATATCCGCAAATCAGAGAGGCTGGTCTTATGTCTCTAAAAAAGGGAGAATACAGAGCTTTTTATTTCAGATCTGTATTTTTGCATATTGTGCTGTAAACAAACACACATCTGTCTTGTCCAGGTGCTGAAGTGTTACACGCCACTCAAAGCTAGTACGTCCTCTTCCTGTAACAGATGGACAGCAGTTATATCACTCTGCAACACATGTCCTTTAAACTTTCATATAACATAAATGGCATCTTTGAAATGCACTTAAGTTCACAACTGACTGTAGTGACTAAAGAGCTTGTAACGGTTTAGCTGCTGAAGGTTTGTCAAGGTTGTAATGCTTTTTCCACATGAATAATACAGTATACAATGTGGTCCAAAAGTCGGAGACTACTTCTCCATTCATGGGGAAAAAGGGACCCTTTGTTATCATGTAAATTTTATCTGCTCCATAACAGGAGCCCATTATTAATCTTACAAAACATGCATAATTTTAAAGTAAAAAGTCTCAAGGGACATTTACTGGTTTACAGGTAGTGGTGGAGGAACTCCCACCCCCCCCAACCCCACCCCACCCCTCATACAATTTTGTTTCTTTCTGACTTCTTTAAAATTCAGTAGCCAATGTAGAAGAGTGTGTAAGTTGTAACATTTCCTGCTACAAAGGTGGCAAAACATCAAAATGACCATAAAGCACTTTACGTTATTACAATAAAAAATAATTATTCCACGCTATATATTCCATGGGTAATCTCTTTTGTTTGCCAAAAAGCCATTCACATATACTATGTGATGCTACAGAGTGACATAGCATATTTTTAGAAATCAAACTCCCTGTTAGACCTTTTATGAGCTCAAAAAAGGAGAGATATTGAAACAGACAGATTTGGGAGGGGTAATGCTGCATAAAAACTAACTGTCAGCAGCAGTCACAGATATACAGCATATCTAAATCCACTGTATTTAATCATGTTTTGCAGCTCTGACACTCCAAACAGAAGTAATGTGTCATTTTCTGTTATGAACTTCTGAAATATTGCCATCATTTCCAAGTTATGTTTCTACGCAACTCTTATAGAATTAGTAAAGGTATCAAGCTATTCAACCAGACAACCGAGTCTCTCTAAAGACTTTGAGGTTTTGAGGTCTTGGGTTCGATCCTCAGGATCTGAAGTGTATTTTGGTTATAACCCAAAGTAAACATACAGAGTGCTCCTCTTACTTCTTGATATAGGAAAATCTAAGACAGATATTTCCTTGAGAATCCAACTGGAGGAGTAAGAGGCCAGTGAGAAGTGTTGAGGTCAGTGGCTAGTGTAAAGGAAAGAGCAAAAATACTCTAAGAAATGAAGGTCAAGCATGTCTGCCCATGATGTTAGAGGATCACTCTGAGGTTTTGAAGCTTTTTGTCTTAATCCTCAGGTGCTGCAGGTGAATTTTTGAAGTCCAACGTAAACACACAAAGGGTCAAATGTCTTTTTAGTGCTTATGGTTTTAAGTTTGTAGGTTCGATCCTTGGTGAATTTGAAAGTCCAACAACCAGATGAAAGAGTGAAGGACTTTAAGAAATGATGCTCAAGTGTCTCTGATCACATAGCTCATGGTATTAGAGGACTGTGTGAAAGGTTTTGGGCTGTATGCTCAATCCTTAAGAGACTCAGTGCATTTTGAAGTCGAACACTCAAAGTAAAGACTAAGAAGCGAACAGAGAGAAGCTCACACTGCAAAAGGGAGCGTGCAGGGCCAATGTAGGCCGGCGCTTTGCCTGTCGTGCTGTGTATATCCTCAATCACAGTGTATAATACAGTCGCATTCTACATCACTATGAAATTAAAAAGTCCTCCACCATCAAGTTGTTGCAGGAGATTAGCCACTCATTATTTTCTGACACTTAACCTAAAAACTCTGGAGGTCACCTTCTGCAGCAGGATTGCACCACGCCCCCATGTCCCCTTCACACTCAGAGCTTTATAAGACGATTGTGTGTTTTGTATGTATCATTTTAATCTGAGAAGTAATTACAACTGTCATTTAATGTAGTGAAGTCAAAAGAAATGTAGTGTAGCTGTATAGAGTAGCATAAAATTAACATACTATTTTTTAAATGCCCAAGTGCTTAAAAAAATGTTCATTCCACCACTGAATTCAGTCGCATATAGCATCAGCACAATATAAATAATATGTGATATAGTAGATATAGGGAGATAAAATGTGATGTAGCTTTATGATTTATCACAGCAGTGTAGTCTACTTCCACAACTGAAGAACATCCTCATAAAACGGTGGTGTTGTCTCCTGATTTCATGAATCCACAGCTTTACGTTGCCGTCACAAAACATGTGGGGCAGGGGAAAAAAAAAAAAAGGAAAGTTGTTCATACGGCTAAAAACACCAAAGCCGATTATGACCCCGGGCAGGAGGCAGGGCAGCGGAGGTGAACGGCCAATTCTGATTGGTCACCGGCGTGTCAGGAAGTCTAAACAACCAATTGAACGGCGCGGATATTTATCGCCGCCTTTGACCGTCCGACCTACAGTACCTGTCAACACAATGCACTCCTTCTTTGGAAGGTAATGACTTTCCAGTGTTTTTCCCTCTCATAAAGCAGCTGTTTAACCGGGGCTGAAGTTGTTATAAAAATGACAGCACACCCATTATCCCGGAAGAAAGACTAAGCGGTTTTATGAATGAAGTTCAGCACAGTTTGTCCCGCTTTTTATCAACACCAGCCGGACTCTGGGAATGACATTTGTTGCCACTAACAGGATGGAGTGGCTGTTCCAGCGATACTATAAAGAGGCTGTCTTCCACTCTGTCTTTCGGTCGGTGCTGCTCATGTCATGTGTGGTAAGAGCTGCTGTGATTATTATGTGGACTAGTATGACATGGAAACTTTGAGAAAAGTCTTAAGTAACCCATAACAAGAAGGCTCTGGAGTCGGGGATGACAAATTGTTATTGATTGTATTCAGTCTAACATCATTTGTGTTGGATTTACGTGCATCTATGTCTAGCTGCGATGCTGTGCTGTGCTGTGCAGAGAAGTAGGACAGATTATAAATTGGTCTCTGCGTCCAAGCCAAAGCCCATACTCATTTATCTCTGACAGACAGCGCCAAATAATAAGAGGATAAATACTGGATCCAATCCAACACAAACATGGAAATCCTTTCAGGGGGTAGGAGATAATTAAATTGAGTTATAACATCCCCTCATCCAGACGTAAAATGACATGAACAAACCACATGTCCAAATAATTTAATACAGATGCAAACATCACCCAGCAAACACGCTCTTAAAGTCTGTTAGGTGACTTTGACATGTCAGCACTTTGAGATGTTCTTGTCCCTTAATGCACCCACTCCCCATCCTCCTCTTCTCCAGTTCCTGGTACTGTCTGTTTCCATGTACCCCGGGTTGTGGTCCATTGGCGTTCATCTCCATTCAGCCTTGACAGGGAGCTATGTACCAGGCCACCACTCTGTCCTCCTCCTCAACAGTCCCAACGAACAGGCAGCCAAGGACATCGGCAGGTGCGACACCATATCAATCAATCATATCAGGTTACATGTTATAGTTAAAAAAAAAAATAAAGTAAGCACTAGAAACACAGGGTTTCATTTTTTGATTCAGAACAAGGAATGGTTTGACATTTAAAAAAAAAAAAAAAAAAGGTGCTATATGCAAGTTTTGTTATCGCTGCATAAACAACATTAACGTTAACAGCTGTTAGCTTACCTGTCTATGAGAAACGCTGCACGTTCAGCATCAAAAACTTACTTCTGTTACTTGCGAAGAGCTGCAGTGGTGGAAATCTACTCCAATGTTAACTGTTGTTGTCTTCTACTGAAGTTAGCATGCTAACCAGCTAGCCCCAGACCAACCCCCCTCATCTTGTCATTTTTTGATAGCGAGTCACTGTAGCATCCACTCTTCCCGGAAGCAGGGGCGCTGCCCAGATGGCATATTATAACCTCTTGTATTGTAAACACAACAATGGCTGAAGCTCTTGGCAAACAACCATCACCAACCACCTGTTCCTGGCAATAAACCATGTTTGGAGGCAGAAAAAAAACCAAAAACATACATATAGCGCCTTTGAGAGAGAGTTAGATGAGAAGATCAATACCACTCTCATGCCTGTACAATTAATATGTAGCTACAGCCAGCAGCTTGTTAGCTTAGCACAAAAATCTGGAAACAGGGGAAACAGGTGGTCTGGCTCTGTCAAAAAAGTGTTGAGAAAAACAAAACAAAAAAAAAATCAGCACACCTAAAGCTCACTGATGATCACATTTAATCTGTACAACAACCAAAGTGTAAGATCAGCAAATTGTGGTTTAATGATTAAGTTCTAGGACACAGTGCAGGTTTTATACTCAGGGTTTGTGTAGGCCTACACATTGAGAAAACAAGATAAAAATTTAGTTTAAGGAGGTGCTGCTCAGGCTGGAGTCAAGGTACTCGTTTCCCCCCTGCTTCTAGTCTTTGAGCTGCCTAAGCTAGGATAACCGGTTGCTGGTTCTATAGCTGTATATTTGCCAGAGAAATGATTGGTATTAATCTAGTCATCTAATCCTTGGAAAGAAAGTAAATAAGTGTCTTTATGAAAATGTTGAACCTTTCCTTTAATCTGGATGCTAATTAAATTCTTTTGCTATGGTATGCAACTTGTGGTTTGCAAATTAGTTTAAGTGGCTTAAACAATTCAAAGTCATACACAGTCAGTCATACACAAGTGGCTTTTCTTTATAGAGAAGAGATACAATCTCGTCAAAGCCACTACTGGTAGAGCGCTGTGTTTGCACTCTCATCTCCTTTGTTGGCATTTTAGCTGCATGTAAATGAGCTCCATCTATTTACCACATGTCAAGACAGAAAGTAGCTACAGAGTGGGTGCCAGATATGTAAATCACCCCCTCTAGAGCCCCTGGTTTGAGGAAGGGGCATGGTGATAAACTGTAATATCAGCTGAGCAGCAGCAGAAAGCAAAGTTTACTATCTTTTTCAGAATTTAATGCACTGAAGCATTTTCCTGCAGCTCGTTTGAAGAGCACCATAATGAAGGGCTCCGTTTCATGTTGTAATTGATAAACAGCTGGTGGTTTGCAAGTGTTTAATTTTTCTTTCCTCTCTTCCCATGTCTGCCCCCTCCGTTCCCATCTACGCTCCCCACCATTCTGTCTTCTTTTCCAGGGCAATCATGGAGAGGCGATTGGCAGCCAGTATTAACATTCTCTCCAGGACCTCCACAATGTAAATCATATTTGACCTCCATCTTTAACACAACTTTTTACCTAGCTGACGCACAACCACAAAACACTAGCTTAGTTAAAATGTCTCTCACATATGCACGTATTCACACCTCTTCACTCTATATAATGTTAAAAGGGAAAAACTGAAAGTTCACATTACTCAGACCCTTTTCTGTGACACTTGTAATTTAGCTTCGGTGCCTCCCATTTCTCTTGATCATCTTTGAGATGTTTGTACACTTTGACTGGAGTCCACCTGTGGTAAATTTAGTTGAGTGGACATAATTTGGAAAGGCACACGCCTGTCTATATAAGTTCTCACAGCTGACAAGGCAGATCAGAGCAAAAGCCAAGCCAAGAGGTTGTTGGAACTGCCCACAGAGCTCTGGGCTTTATGGCAGAGTGGCTAGATGGAAGCCTCTCAGTGAAAGACACATTAAAGCTGCTCATAGTTTGCAAAAAAAAAGAAAAAAAGCACCTAAAAAAGGACTCTGAGACTGTGAGAAACAAGTGAGATTGGCCTCAATTCTCAGCATCATGTCTGCAGGAAATCATCATTTGCCCAACACCATCCCAACGGTGAAGCATGGTGGTGGCAGCATCATGCTGTGGGGGTGTTTTTCAATGGCAGAGACAGGGAGACTGGTCAGGGTTGCGGAAAAGCTGATCGGAGAAAAATACAGAGAAATCCTTAACGAAACCAGGTCCAGAGTGCTCAGGACCTCAGGCTCGGACGATGGCTCATGACTTTAAGCACACAGCCAACACTACGCAGGGAGTGGCCAAGGGACAACTCTGAATGTTCTTGTGTGGCCAAGGCCAGAGTCCTGACTTGAACCGAATTGAACTTCTCTAGAGAGACCTGAAAATGGCTGCCCACCTACGCTTCCCATCCAACCTGACGGAGCTTGATATGCTCCGCAGAGAAGAATGACAGAAAATCCCCAAAATCCAGGTGTGGAAGGCCTGTTGCATCACACCCAAGAAGTTGCCAAAAGGTGCTAAGTACTTCAACTAAGTACAAAGTAAAGGGTCTGAATACCAATGTCTGCATGATAGTTCAGTTTTTCCTTTTTAGTAAAAGTTGCAAAACTCTCTAAACATCTGTCTCTGCTTTGTCATTATGGGATACTGAGTGTAGTTTGTTGAGGTAAAAAATGTATTTAAACTAACATAAGGCTGCAACATAAAATGTGGAGAAAAAAAAGTGAAGGGGGTCTGATTACTTTCTGAATGCACTGCATGTCCTTTTTATCCTCGCTACTGCACAGCTGGTTACCGAGGAAACCACAAGGTGAATGGGGCTGTGTCTAAATGCTTTTATCAGTTTTCCCAATCATTACAAACTGAACGACAGTTGGCCTTCAAAGGGGCCATGTGTCTGTATGCATGGATTAGCTTTCCTGTAAATGCATAACCACAAAAGGAACAAGAAGTATAAACTCAGGCTGTGAAGTCTAAAGGTTAACTGAAGAGGAAATGCAGCATTAAAGCTGTTAACCAAACAGAGGTTTAGCCTAAAAATAGAGGATGTGATTGATTAGTTTAGGAGTGAGGGGATGGAGGTAGTCTGGGGTTTGTGTGTGAGTGCAGGTGTTTAGTGGATACGTCTCAGTTACATACATTTAACATTTATTTGGCCATTTGTCATGGAACATGCTTTAATATGGCTTCTTAGTTTGTGTTGTGCTGTCTTTCACAGTCAACAACAAAAAAAAAGTGTTTTGCACTTGACACCATAAAAGCTTGCCAGGAGCAATTTGACGATAACACTTGTAAATCAGTGGCCATAATAAGTGGTTGGGGGAAGGTTTGATTGTTGAGTTCTTTCAGAAAATACTGTTTTTCTTGAAATGTTTTTTTTTTTTTCTCCTTTTACAAAATTTAAAGGCTGCTGCAGGATGTTACACGCACTGCTATTTTTAGTCCTTAGCAATCTACAATACAAGGAACAGTTATAATGTCTTGTCTTCTCTGGTGTTTTAGGTACTATTGGAAAGGCGAAATCCAGGATGCAAGTGAAATTCTGATGGTAAGCTTCCTGAGGAAGTCACTTTGTGATCAACATTTACTCTACAGGCATGTTGAAAGAGAAGGCAGATGTGTAAAATGAGATGTCATTGTTGTTGCAGCTGGTGAAAACAAAGACCTCCAGGATCCAGCAAGTCATAGATTTTGTGAGGTGAGGTTTTTGCTTTTATGTAATATATGGTTGTATCAGTATTGTCATTGCAAAATGTACCTCAAATTAATGTTTCAGACTTAATGCTTAAGCTGTGTCTGCTCCTCTAGACACGCATTAAAAAGGGTTCATAGTGGTTATTTTCAATTTGGGCCACATTGTGTGCTTAAAATTTCATTACTTCACTCTAGGGGCTTAACAAAGAGGACCTCTAGTTTTCCCATAGCACTGAGATCAAACACTTAGAGCTTTTTTATTCATAAAAAGCGTATTTTTTCATGTAGCGATGTTATTCAGATAGAAGGATAAAGATTTAGTTGCTTTAGCGTGAAAATGATTTTTAAGCAGATACAAAAGAAAATAGAAAGTAATGATAATTAGATTTTTTTTTATAGAATTGCAGAAGTTGGTGGATGTGATGTATTATGTTCTATATCAGTATTTCTACAGCCTTCTAAACACAATTTGTAATATCAAATGATCTTACATGTGCTGCATGAAAATTACCATCAGGAATTAATGCTTATTTTTTCCTTTTTCTGCCACTGGCACAACTCAGCATTAGAGCATTAAACTTGCTGGTCTATCAACTACTTAAAACAGCATCTCCTACTGTTATATATGCAGATTTTTGGCAATGGTTCACGAAAACATTGAATGAAGAGTTTCTTTGCAGTGTCAGTATTATTCTGTTAAAGGTTGTGTTGTGAGGCATTTTTGATTCAACAAGTAGAACTTGTTTTTCGGCTTTGTGGTGCACTGATAAGCCCAACTCCAAAACAAACTACTGCTGGAAAGCTATGTGTTTAGTCAGTTATTAAGCATCAAATGCCATAATGGCAAAAACTAGGAAAAAAGAAACAGGTTGAAAAGGACTGGAACCAGAACAGAGATTCTAAAGTGTTAATCTATATGAACAAAATTGGTTTTATGCGACTTGTTTGTGTGGGTGCCTTCAAGGTCTGTCCACCCTTATGCAAACCCAGAAGTCCTCAGCTTCCCAGTGGAGGACGGTAGTTTGGCTTACATGAAATGGATGGATGAAGCCCTTCCAGATGACTGATACATCATTAAAAATCAGAACTGGCGCCAGCATGGACTGCAGCCGAGGAGGAAACTGAGCCATGTGCACATGCTGTTGTGTGCTGAAGGCTTTGGATCGAAGGGTTCAGAAAACACTCTGTTGAACAAAAAGTTCAATACGTGACATTTACATTATTCTGTTGCTCTGACCTTTTCACTGTAAACTCCACAATGTACTGTGGAGATTTGATTTCAGTCTTTTAAAAAAGCGTTATGCCACAGCCACAGGAAATACTTGTTTCTGATTTGCTGCCAGCTGTCAGCTAATATCATGTAATGGGTGAAATAGTTCCAGTCGACTGTGACAGTATATTATCAGTTCATTTTCACTGGTAAAACTGATGCAATATGGATTAAACTGACCACAAACTAACTGTTAAGTGGTTGACGATCTGTATCATGCATTCTTTGCCTCCACAGCATTATTGCTTATATAGTGATGCACTTCTTATGCAGGTAACCCTGTCCTCTAATAGGGTTACCTGTATAAAGTAATCTTTGGTGTCTTGAGTATTTGCATGTGATGAACATGCTCTTTGTTTTTGCAATTACTTAAGATGACATCACCCTTCCTGCAGCTTTAACTTAGTAATCATATGGGCTGGAACATACTGATGTCATGACTCTAATGATAAACCAATTAACCTAATGCTATGGTTATCAGTAGAGTCAGAAAGACTTTGATCCCTCACAGGGAAATTTATTTGTTACAATTGCACAAAACACAGTTAGGAATACTAGTCATGAACTTGCTGTAACTGACCATGACATTGCTCCTTCATAAATATTACATTATACTACTAAATTTAGTGTTATGAACTGGAGAGTCACAAGATTTTTAAATGCCGTTTTCAAAAACGCTGCGTCCTCACAAAAAGAAACCTGATCAGCAACACTCAGAGGAACAGGATGCCGGAGCAATCTACATGTACCTACCGATCAATACTTGATTGATTTGTCAGGCTGTAGAAGAGGGACACAAACACGTGTGCACACGTGGTGTTTACATTCCCTTTATTGGTGTGAGGGAAGCAGTTAATGACAGACCTGTGCTAAAAAAAAAGCAATATTGGTGAATTTCAGTCCTGCTCTGCTTCAGATTATCTCATCTTTTACTACTAAAACATTTACAAGCATCATACATAACCTCAATTAAAGCTACACAGATCTACTGAGGATAAATTAAACAGAAATGACTGATAGGTATTTGGCACTAAGCTTGACTGTTTTAGGAGCGCCTCTCCTCCTCACCTCCTCTGCCTCTCACATGTATTACTAATGACAAATTATAAAAATAAAAAGGTTTTCATTGTTGGGTTTGCATATGAAAGAACTGCTACTGATCAGAGCTCGTCTTCCATCCTTGATCTGATAGTCTTGCCAAATGAAATAAGAAAAAAAAAACTAACCAGTCAGGTCTTGAGAGCAATTCAGTTCATGTTTGCCTTTACAAATATGAATTGGAGATATGGCACGTGACCACAGATGTAGCACATACATTTTCCAATATGAATATAATGGATGTGCCTCTAAATGTTCAGTTCAGTTTGAAAAAAAAAAAGAGCATCAATATTGTCAAAGACAACAAATGCTACTAGGTATACGATGCCATATTGGTGGTCACAGAGACCTTTTCAGCCATGCATGCTTACCTCATTAAACAAAAACACGCTCTAAGCCTCAGTCTGCACAAACAGTTTCCGGCATGAGGCCCCAACAAAGAAACTGCAGACATGGGTTAGTTGGGTGTTGTGTCTGTGGAGCCAAAATAATCCTCCCCATCAGGTCCAGAGATCAGGTCATTTGGTTGCTGTGTGCATGAGTGTGTGTGTCTCTTCACTGCATAAACACACATCTGTGCTGAAATTGATTTGTATGCATGAGTAATATGCATACAGATGATTAGTAGAAGGTACAAGTAATTATGGCTGTCTAGACACAAGTAAGTTCATATTGCAAAAACTGAAACTTTATCCTGCAATATGACTCAATGTTCACTAGATGGTGGTGTTTCAATACACATGGAAACTGTGAATCACATGTCAATCATATTGATTTGTAATTTTTTAGCTTAAATACTAAAAACAAAAATACAATCTGCTCATTTCACTGCTCAACATAATTCTTCCAGGTTGCTTTCCTTTTGTTTTCTCTTACATCTCTTGCTACCACTCCTCTACTAAGTAATTTTAAAGGTGCCTGAGCAGTTTTTCCCTCTTTCCTCCACCACCACCAAAACAAGTACTGTACAGTGCTTATGTGATATTTGGGTAACAGAGGAAGGGTGGAGTGAGTTTTGGAGCTTTTGTTTCCACCCCTGCACCCTACGCCACAGAACTGACAAATGTCATAACTGTCACTCGACACATGATTTGTGCCTTAGCAATATTCAAACAAAATCAAATTCAAACTGAAGATAGATTCCAATTAGTGCATAGTGTGTCTCTCATATATTGGTATATTATTGCCAAGTACTATCAACCTCACTGAGCACTGGTTTCTCTACATCTGATACATAATTAGTTTTCACTCGAATGAAACAATTTCTGTGAAGAAGCTCTATACAGTATACTCAGTTAAAATCTAATTGGTTATGGTAACTTGAGAAAAACCCAAGACTTTATATTTCCACATGATTATTCAAGTTGTGTAAACACCATAGTCATATGGCAGGCTGTTTTTCTTCCTGGGTTTCATTAGATTCTCCATGGGTTGCAGAGGTAGGAACAAGATAATTAAGAATAAGCCGTAAGAAACAGACACAGATAACATTCTCCCACTGAGCAATTCAATAAACTGAAGATGTCACACACGCACACACACACACACACACACACATAAACACACACATACTGACATTTGATCTAGAGAGGCAAGGAAGGTGAGCCAGCATATAGTTTTGTGAAATTGTGTGTATTTGCTGTGATTGCCACAACAACGTATAAACAGCACCATCATGAAAAGTCTAAAGCTTAAAGCAGTGAGGTCAATGACATTTTGTATACTAAATCCATTTTATACTGTACATATGAACACTGTGCACAACTCCAAACAAGTCTCATCTGTTTGTACTCCCACTGCAAGGTATTCAAGTACTGGTTTAGAGTCATATTGCATCTTATACACTGTAATTAATGGTTTTGTCAGTGTTAATAAATCATGTACCAATGCTTTATAGATCATTTGTCAGCCTTTAATAAGAAAACCCTTTGGGTTGCCAGGTTATGGGAAATCCTCCTGCAGCATCAAGCTTGATTTTTCTTTTTAGCTCTTTAATTTATTAAGACTGTTTGACCACTTACCTTCTAGAAAAGAGCTACAGGGCATCAGGACCAAAGTCCATCCGTTTTCAACAACTTATTAACATTTACAACTGCTGCCGTGATGTATTACTCTATGGGCCCTTTATTAATGGATTTATTAACATTTATAATAACTGCAGGTGACTAAAAGTTTTAATGAATGCTCACTAGAAAGTGAGAAACCCACAACCCTTAATTAATGACAGACTAACATCTGTTTATTTACATCACATCGGTTTGTTTTACAAACTACTATTCAGTGTCCAGTTCTTGTCCAGCATTGGAATCCAATAGCACTGACATTCAGCACACCAAGGCGCCTGGCTTTTTCCAGTTTACACTGAATTGCTTTTCCAGAAATAGTCCTGCCAGGTTTGGGTCAAGAGGTGCAGCAAGGAGTCAAAGCATTTCAAAAGGCTATTGGAGCTGCTCATGTCATAAAAATGAAAACAGCTTGAGGGAGGCTTGTCTTGCCAAACCAACACAGACTATTGCTTTTATAATTCTATGTGTTTAACAGTCTGTTTCACAATAAGTCTGAAAATTCACTCATCTTTAATTGATCTGTATTCCCTTTTTTACCTGCAAACATTCACCGATGCCAAACCTTGCGAACAAGTTCAACATGGTGTGCGACCACCGACGGGTTTTAATAGGAAGCTGGTTAACAAAATAAAATAAAAATCAAGGGACATCAGTCTAGTGTGGTTGTTCCTTTAGTTGGATAATTTAAAAAAAAAAGGGCTTAAGCAATGTAAAGATGACAGTGTGCAAAATGACATTCACACTATTTACATATTACCTCATATAGAGTGCATTAATTAGTGTTTAATACAGATGTCTGAATCCCCAGAGGGCTAAAGCCACACTACATTTGTCCCTTAAGGGTATCCTTAATGTATGATCAAGATTATTGGCAAATTATGAAAGATTATTTCACTTCCTGGGAAAATTCAAAAAGCATGAGTGTCTTACAGTTAGGCCCAGAAATATTTGGACAGTGACACAAGTTTTGTTATTTTAGCTGTTTACGAAAACATATTCAGGATACAATTATATAATCAATATGGGCATAAAGTGCAGACTCTCAGCCACCTCTTTTTCAAGGGACCAAAAGTAATTGGACAATTGACTCAGAAGGCTGCAAAAAAAAAATAACAAGGCTGCATGGGCTCTTCCCTCGTTAACCTGTCATCAATTAAGCAGTTAAAAGGTCTGGAGTTGATTCCAGGTGTGGCGTTTGCATTTGGAAGCTGTTGCTGTGAACACACAACATGCGGTCAAAGGAGCTCTCAATGGAGGTGAAACAGACCATCCTGAGGCTGAAAAAAAGAAGAAATCCATCAGAGAGATAGCAGAAATGTTAGGAGTGGCCAAATCAACAGTTTGGTACATTCTGAGAAAAAAAGAGTGCACTGGTGAGCTTGGGAACTCAAAAAGGCCTGGACGTCCACGGAAGACAACAGTGGTGGATGATCGCAGAATCCTTTCCATGGTGAAGAAAAACCCCTTCACAACATCCACTCAAGTGAAGAACACTCTCCAGGAAGTAGGTGTATCAGTATCTAAGTCTACCATAAAGAGAAGACTTCATGAGAGTAAATACAAAGGATTCACCACAAGGTGCAAACCATTAATCAGCCTCAAAAATAGAAAGGCCAGAATTGACTTTGCCAAAAAACACCTGGAGAAGCCAGCCCAGTTCTGGAACTGCATTCTTTGGACAGATGAGACTAAGATCAACCTGTACCAGAATGATGGGAAGAAGAAAGTTTGGAGAAGAATTGGAACAGCTCATGATCCAAAGCACACCACATCTTCTGTAAAACATGGTGGAGGCAGTGTGATGGCATGGGCATGCATGGCTTCCAATGGCACTGGGTCACTTGTGTTTATTGATGATGTGACAAAAGACAGAAGCAGCTGGATGAATTCTGAAGTGTATAGGGATATACTTTCTGCTCAGATTCAGCCAAATGCAGCAAAGTTGATTGGACGGCGCTTCACAGTACAGATGGACAATGATCCAAAACATACTGCAAAAGCAACCCAGGAGTTTTTTTAAAGCAAAGAAGTGG